TCCCAATCCCCATGGACGAGGAAAACCCTCGCGACAGTAACAATGCCGACGCCTACTACCATTTCGCCGACAATGGTTACGTAACACCCCAACCCGTCAACACCGACATCTCTGAGAGATACGGCCCCGGATTCGCACCTGATCCTGAAGCGGGAGACGAAGCAGTCTATCCCGAGGACCCTTTGCTGAATCGTCACACCCCCAGCGGACTCCAAGTCCTGGGACTCGTCGCTGCAGTGCACGGGCCTTCGTCGCCACCTGAAGAGCCTCGCTCTGTCAAGCAGGCTCTGGGGGGGGAACACAAAGAAAAATGGCGCGAAGCCATGGAAAAGGAGTTAAAAGCGCTCTCAGACCGCAACACCTGGAAGATCGTCCCTGCATCACTCGCACAAGACAAACCCATTCTCTCCGGAAAATGGGTATTCCGGATCAAAACCAACTCCGACGGAACCATCGAACGGTTTAAAGCTCGATGGGTCGTCCGCGGATTCGACCAAGAGTATGGTCGCGATTTCACTGAAACCTTCGCACCAGTCAGTCGACATACTTCCCTGCGCATACTTCTCGCCATCGCCGCCTCACGCCGCCGCCCACTCCGACAAATCGATGTCGCCAACGCCTTTCTATACGCCCCAGTCGACGCTGAAATCTTCGTCGAACAGCCCCACGGGTTCGTCGACGACCCTTCCCTCGTCTGCCAACTACTAAAATCACTATACTGAATTAAGCAAGCACCGCGACTCTGGCAGCAGTACCTGCACGCACGACTCAAACGCATCGGATTCAACCAACTGCCCCATGACCAGGGCATGTATCGTCTCACTCGCGACAACGACTACGTTCTGCTAATCGTCTACGTCGACGATTTGCTTTACATCGGGTCAACTACCACCATCGTCACCTGGTTCGAAAAGGAGCTTCAGACAGATCTCTCCCTCACAGTCTCACCCAACGTCACGCAGTATCTAGGGCTCAACATCCTCGATGAAGACAACACTATTCGTCTCAGCGCCTCAAAATACGCAAGCACTATCGCCGAACGCTTCTGCATCACACCGACGCACATCGCAACACCCCACAGTCACCTATCGCTCGATCCAACCGAAGAAACCAACCCACTATCGCCTACTGAAATCCAGGAATATCAACAGAAACTGGGCTGCCTACTCTTTGCCGCCGTTACGTGCCGACCGGACTTATCCTACAGCGCCAGTCAACTAGCGACCTACCTCAAGCGCCCAGAACAACGTCACCTCAAGGAACTCAACCGTGCCCTTCTCTACTTCATCTCGACGCCAACAGTTGGCTTAACATATCACAAGAACACGACGACCGACCTAAAACTACTCGGCTACGTCGACGCTGATCATGCTGCTGATCGTGTCGATCGTCGCTCTCGCACCGGCTACATCTACCGTCTTGAGCCCGTCGGAACTATCTCCTGGCAATCAAGTAAGCAGGAACTCGTCGCACTATCATCTGCTGAAGCAGAGTATATTGCTCTCTGCACTGCTACCAAGGAGGGCCTGTACCTGCGCGAACTGCTGGAAGAAGCGAAAATTGCGAAAGTACCCAGCTTCTCGCTTTTCTGCGACAACCAGTCCGCGATACGGATCGCGAACAAGAATGGCTTCGCCAACAGAACCAAGCATATCGCACTGCGATACTTCTTCGTGAAAGACGAAATCGAGAAAGGAAAACTCCAGCTGGATTACTGCCCGACCACCGAGATGGCAGCAGATTATCTCACCAAGAAGCTACCAAAGGGGAAATTCGAGTACTGCATGCTGCTCACCGGATTGGACCACGTCACCGAAGCTGACCACGTCGACACTCCAGAAACGAAGGGGAGTGTTGGGAAAATAAACGCATGACTTAGTGCGTTTCTGTAGTATCGAACCTCACCCGATACTGAAGCACAACAAAAGGAGTACGAAGTCGAAAAGGCGCATACCACATCAAACCGCAACTAGAGGTTGCGAGCTGTAACCGCCTGGAGGTTACGTAACAGCAAGCGACGCTTCAGTGAACAGTAACCACCTCGATAGTCGAAGCGCTACGCGTCTCGATAAACATAACCGTTCCTTGTAATCTATCTTTTCTATATATTCCTGTATGCCCTTTACTTTAATCAATTACTTGTTCTCACATACCAGCACAAGTACATTCACTCAAGACTTCCGCTGTGCTACTCTAGCACTTACTAGCCTATTCTCTGCAAAGATCCTAAGGCTGAAATTCTCAGCCCAACAGCCGCGTTAATTTACCACGTGCTGAATCACATTCCTTCTCATTTCCTAGTTTGTTTTGACTGAACCTATATTTCATGAGTTGCAAAAATGATGTACTGTGAACACGTAACTGTTTATTTCGTAATGCATATGTCTGATGCTGTTATGCGTGAAGTAAATGCAAATGCATAAGTATAATGCATATACTACCGGTAGTGAAATTAATGCATAGCATGATGGAAATGCGTAACAGTTAATTGACGCAGACCCTATGCTACCGCGTCCCCTGCCTAGCATGGGGGGGAGCTCAATAGCATAGTTTCTGAATCATCCAACTGTTACATGAAACAACACAATATGTGTGATCTAAAAAAAGGGTCAATTCTATCATATCCAGTTCGAATGGACACACTCACTGAGTGCGCAAAGAACCTTCTCGGAAATGATAGTTTGATCCCAATTTTTAAAACCCACAGACATGTGTTATTAATGCAATGAAAACATGAATGAAAACGCATACACACACAACACAACGCATACCCACACAATTTAAAAAGACATTTAGCATACTAATACCTTTCATCTGTCTCACACTCGTTGTTCTCACTCTCGCGTAAGTTTGTACTCGTTTTCATGGTCTGTTCAAATGTCTAATAATTAACCCATTAACTCTTTAAACCCCTCTGAGCATCTTCCCCGCTGTTCCAAATCGCTCACAGCTTCACCATCGCTGCACAAAAAAGAGGGGGCAATTTCCAAGTGTAAGAAAAAATTGATATACGTCAATCAAATTACTACTACAATGAGCACATGTACATAACCACAATAAGAAGGGTGCTCACGTCCTGTCTCTTTTTGGCGGGTGTTGACGAAATCGGTGTGCTCGATGTGTCAAAGTTCGTCGGAGCGTCGCTCGCCTGCGTGATCGTCCAGATCTCCAAGATGGTCTTGCTCACGCCTGCTCCTTCAGGACGAAAGTGGACCTTCAATAACAATGAACAGTACATGTAGAATAATTTGAGTTAGAGAGCTATCAGTAACCACCAAAAATGCATACTGATGTGCACATTTAATAAGTATACAAAACTCTTAGTAAATGTTAAAAACTAACAACTAAATTCACATACCTTCACATGCCAATGGCCTCGAAGCGTGTCCAACACGCTTTGCCGCTCGCCTATTGTCATGGAGTGGAAATCCGAAACCTGAAAACTTGGGAACATTTGTCCCAAAAGTTCCGGCTGAATCTCCAAACCCTTCGCCTGCGTCGTGAACGAATTTGAAAATGAAACATAAGAGAATTTAGTCAATGTACAGTACCTAAATTTTGTGGAAAATATAGCAAGCGCCACAATGAAAATGCTAGACATGATGCTTACCACTCTCGTGAACAACAAGAGTTGCTATCACGTTATCAAACGCGCGGACTGATGTCGCTCTGTGGACGCGACATCTGTGAACCTCCGAAGCCGCGGAGGTTGTCAAAATCTTAGCTTGGCTAAGGAGCCATAGCTAGTTAGAACTAGAGTTTGAGTATCGAGCAGGTTGAGTTGAAGTGAAAAGTATCGAGAGAATGGGGGTTTCACTATAGGTTCAAGGGTACAAATAGGCAAGAATGAAGAAAGGCAAATGGTACACCACCTAGCAGGAAACTAAGATAACTACACTAGGCTACTGTAGGCATTTATATGAAAGTATACAAATACATTTCAACAGAGGTGAAAACAGGCATTCCACAAATGGAATCTCCTACTCCAGTAGCGCAGACAACTCGACTACTTTGCACTGGGTCTCTGAGGTCTGCTGCAAGTGTTGCTTGTCAGAACATTATAGCTTACTTATTTGTGTAGGCTATAGTGGGGTATCCCATAGGGGGTACAACCCAATTAGGGTTTCCTATTTGTACTCACTTCGTTCATAGTCAATTCATTTCTCGTTCTTTCTTTTCACATGGTATCAGAGCAGGTTCCCTCCTAGGGACTGCTTCTAGGGCCCACCGAACCGCGCCCCGAGGCGCGTTTTCCTTTTTTGGCGACCCGTCGTGTCGCCCCTAGCGGCCCGTCGCGCCGCCCTTCCCTTAGCGGCCCCGCCGCCCTTCGATCGCGGCTCCGCCGCCCTACCTTAGCGGCCCCGCCGCCCTTCGATCGCGGCCCCGCCGCCCTTCGATCGCGGCTCCGCCGCCCTTCCTTAGCGGCCCCGCCGCCCTTCTATCGCGGCCCCGCCGCCCTCTGCTAAGCGGCCCCGCCGCCCTCTGCTAAGCGGCCCCGCCGCCCTCTGCTAAGCGGCCCCGCCGCCCTCTGCTAAGCGGCCTCGCCGCCTTACTCACGCGGCCCCCCCCCCCGCCCTCTGTTACGCGGCCCCGCCGCCCTCTTCTACGCGGCCCCGCCGCCCTTCCTTCGCGGTCCCGCCGCTCTGCTCTCGCGGCCCCGCCGCCCTCTGCTAAGCGGCCCCGCCGCCCTCCCTTAGCGGCCCCGCCGCCCTTCCTTTGCGGCTCCGCCGCCCTACCTACACGGCCCAGCATCAGCCGAGCCGCCCAACCGCAGCCGAGCGGCCCAGCATCAGCCGAGCCGCCCAGTCGCAGCCGAGCCGCCCGGCAGAAGCCGAACCGCCCGGGAGCCGCTGAGCCGCCCAGGAGCAGCCGAGCCGCCCAGGAGCCGCCGAGCCGCCCAGCAACCGCCGAGCCGCCCGACCTGCCCTGCCCGGTGAGCACCGTACCGCTGTCACTGCGTGCCCTTCCCCTACTGCTTGCACTGCTCCACTGTCGTCGTCATGGCTACCCCCAGTGTCCTCGCTTTTGACGCTGAGGGTCGAGCCGTTGACTTTGAGGTCTGGGTCGACGACCTGCAGCTGTTCTTACAGTGCGATAGAGCTGACGGCCATTCCCTCTTTGACCTCACCTCTGGCGCCTCTCCTGCCCCTGCTGCTGATGCTGACCCCACTGTTCGCTCTCAGTGGGCCACTCACGATGCTGCTGCACGTCTTGCTGTGCGTCGCCACTTGCCCACCACTGAGCGCGCGCACTTTAGTAAGTACAAGAGTGCCCAGACCTTGTACGACGCTGTAGTTGCGCGCTACTCCTCCCCTGCCACTACTGCACTGAGCCGCCTCATGCTCCCCTTCCTCTTCCCTGACCTTGCCGCCTTTCCCACTGTCGCTGATCTCATCACGCACCTCCGCACTAGTGACACTCGCTACCGCGCTGCGCTTCCTGCTGACTTCTGCGCCAAGAACCCCCCCCCCCATGTACATCACTCTCTACTTCTTAGTCACTCGCCTCCCTGACTCCCTTCGTGTAGTCCGGGACCACTTCCTCGCGGTCTGTCCCACCACCCTCACAGTCGACAGCTTCGAGAAGGCCCTCCTTGCAGCAGAGAAGAGCATAGTCGCTGTAGGAGCCTCTCGAGGTGACCCCCGCGCCCCCATCTTTGAGGGGTGTTCTCCTTCCCCTCTCCTGCCCTCTGTCGCCTCTGCCGCTGCGGCCGACCTCGTTGGTCTTGAGTCGGTCGGTGCGGCGTCTGCCCCTAGCGGGAGACGCCGCTCTGGCAAGGGCAAGGGGGGCAAGGGAGCGGGTGGGGCCAGTGGGGGCGGTGGAGGTGGAGGTGGAGGCGGCGGAGGGAGTGGGGGTGGCGGTGAAGGTGGTAGCGGGGGTGGGGGTGCTAGTGGCGGCAGTGGAGGCGGGGGTGGCGGCGGCGGTGGCGGTGGTAGCGGAGGTGGCGGAGGTGGCGGCGGTGGAGGCGGAGGCGGGGGCGGTGGAGGCGGAGGCGGGGGTGGCGGAGGTGGAGGTGGTCGGAGTGGAGCTACGCAGCGGAGCAGCACTGGGGGCGGTCAGCGCCAGCAGCAGCAGCAGCAGCAGCAGCGTTCTCGCGAGTCCCCACCCCTCAGCAGCTCCGTGAGTGGTTCACGCAGCGTCAGCGCGGTGGGGGTTTTGGTCCCTGCACCTACGTTCTCCGCACTGGCGACCGCGCTGGAGAGCAGTGTGGGGGTACCCACACCGCCCAGCGCTGCTTTGGCCGCCTGACGGACGCTTGGCGCCAGCAGTTCCCGGAGGCCGCGGAGATCCCCCGCTGGGGAGAGCTGTCTAGGGCTGGTGTAGCTATCTTTGATCTTGATTTTGATGCTATCCTTGCTGCCATGTATGCTGTGACCATTAGTGATGAGGGTGACTGTTACCGGTGTTTCCCGCCCGACCCTGGCATTGGTACTGCTGCGCTAGGTGCCGGTGAGGCTTCTGCTCTAGGTGCCAGTGCGTCTGTGCTCTCAGGTGCTGGTGAGGCTGCTCTCTCAGGTACTAGTGCGTCTGCGCTCTCAGGTACTGCGTCGGCTTCGGCCTCCCACACCTTCACCCTTGACTCTGGAGCGTCTCGCTCTTTCTTTCGGGACCGCACCACACTCACGCCGCTTAGTCGGCCGGTTGCGGTTTCCCTGGCTGACCCCTCTGGGGGTCCTGTCCTGTCTCGCTTCTCCACAGTCCTCGCGTGTCCGGCGGCTCCCTCTGGCACCCTGTCTGGTCTCTACCTCCCCTCGTTCTCTACGAACTTGGTGAGTGGTGTTGACCTACAGGATGCGGGAGTCCACCAGTTCACCCCTGCTCGTCAGCGAGTGACGCACTGCACAGAGGCTAGCACGGGTCGTCACCTGGCTACGTTTACACGTCAGCCAGGGTCGAGCCTGTACACACTGACCACTGCTTCTCCTCCAGTTCCTGAGTCTGGTAGGGTCCCTTCGTCAGGTCAGGTGTTTGCTGCAGCGTCCAGGTCTGGCCCTGAGTCTGCCCCCTGTTCGTGTCGTCGCCTATCTCACGAGACTCTCCTCTGGCACCATCGCCTTGGCCACCCCTCTCTGCTTTGGCTCAGAGGCATGGCCTCCCGTCTTCATGTGTCTGGTCTCCCCCGGTCCCTCCCTCCCCTTCCTCAGGGCCCTGGCCCTGCCTGTGTCCCCTGCGTCGAGGGGCGCCAGCGTGCTGCCCCTCACTCCTCCCAGTTTCCTCCGACAGAGGCTCCGTTGCAGACGCTTCACATGGACGTGTGGGGCCCTGCCCGCGTCCGTGGACTCGGTCACGAGCGCTACTTCCTGTTGGTGGTTGATGACTACTCGCGTTACACCACAGTCTTCCCCTTGCGCAGCAAGGGTGATGTCACTGAGGTGCTGATCGACTGGATCCGCGCAGCTCGTCTCCAGCTCAGGCAGAGCTTTGGCTCGGACTTTCCTGTGTTGCGTCTGCACTCGAACAGAGGCGGAGAGTTCTCCTCTGGCCTTCTGCGTGCCTTCTGTCGTGCGCGAGGCATCCGCCAGACCTTCACGCTTCCGGACTCACCGCAGCAAAATGGGATTGCAGAGCGCCGCATTGGCATGGTCATGGACGTCGCTCGTACGTCTATGATGCATGCGGCTGCCCCCCATTTTCTATGGCCGTTTGCGGTCAGGTACGCGGCGCATCAGATCAACCTCCACCCCAGGGTCTCCAGGCCGGAGACCTCCCCAGCCCTGCTGTGGACGGGGAAGGTTGGCGATGCGTCGGCGTTCGGGTCTGGGGATCTCGGGCGTTTGTCCGCGACTTGTCTGCGGACAAGCTGTCCCCTCGCGCTGCTCCCTGCGTCTTCCTGGGGTTCCCCCCCGACGCCCCTGGGTGGCAGTTCTACCACCCCACCTCTCGACGTGTTCTGTCCTCCCAGGACGTCACGTTCGACGAGTCGGTACCCTACTACCGCCTCTTCCCCTACCGCACTCCGTCCCTTCCCCCGCCCCCGCTCTTCTTGGTACCAGGTCCCCCCCCGGTAGACCCCCTCCCCCCTCAGGGTCCTGCCCCTTCAGGTGTGTCCCAGGTAGACGCGGTCGAGCCTGTCGAGGCCACTGGTGACTCTGGTGCTGCTGCGGGTGCTGAGCCTGGGGGTGCTGGGACTGGGGGTGCTGAGCCTGGGGGTGCTGAGCCTGAGGGTGCTGAGCCTGGGGGTGCTGAGCCTGGGGGTACTGAGTCTGGGGGTGCTGAGCCTAGGGGTGCTGAGCCTGGGGGTGCTGCGACTGAGGGTGCTCTGCCTGGAGGTGCTTCGTCTCGCCGAGAGCCACTCTCCCCACAGGAGCTGCGTGAGTGGTTTGCCCAGCGCTGGAGGCGTGCTGCGGGTGCTGGAGGTTCTTCGGCTGCGGAGGGTGCTGCTGCCACGGGTCCCGGAGGTGCTAGTACTGGTGGTCCTAGAGCTGCTGGACCTGAGGGTTCTTCTGGAGCTGGTACTGCTGAGGGTGTTGGCGCTAAGACTACCACTGGCAGTCCGGCTAGCGGTGCTCCTGGGGCTGCTGAGGGTTCTGGGGCCACTGGAGGTGCTGCTGGGGGTTCTGGAGCTGCTGGAGGTGCTGCTGGAGGTACTGCTGGAGCGGGTTCTCCTGCTGGGGGTACTGGTGCTGTCCCTGCTGTTCCTGGCGTCGCCACGCGGCCCCGACTGTACTTCGTTCCCCTCCTGCAGCAGGTTCTTGGTCTTCCACCTTCTCCTGGTCCTCCTCCTCCTCCCTTAGAGCGTCCACAGCCTGTCCAGTCACAGCTACAGCCTGCCTCCCCTTTGCCTGCTCCTTCTCCCTACGCTGGTCCGACTGGAGGTCTTACTGAGCGTCGTGAGCCTGCGTCTCGTCCTGCGTTGCCTGTTCGTACTGCGCGCACTAGTGGTCGCGGTTCGCGTCAGCGTCCTCCTCCTGTCCCTGGCACGCACCGGATGTCTCTGCGTCCGTCCACTGCTCCTCTGCGTGCCCCTTTGCCTTCTCCTCCTGCTTCCTCTCTTCTTGCTCTTGCCGACCCGGAGTCGGACTCTCTTCGTGCTGCCAGTCCTACTGTCACGCGTCTTCTTGCTACTGCTGTCACTGACCCTTCTTTCGAGTCTTCTGCTGCGTCTGCCCTTGTCACTGAGCTCGTCGACTTTGCTGCGCGCTGTCGTCTAGACTACGCTGCTAGTCTTGTCGCTGAGTCTGAGTCTGCCTGTTCTCCGTCCGTCGGGGGTGAGTGTGCCCTTGGCATGGACGTCCTTGAGGACAGGCAGGAGGAGTTCTAGTGTCTGGCCGCCGCTTCACCTCATCTCGCGTCTGTACTGCTCGCCCCTGAGGGAGACCCGGATGCACTAGACATCCCGACTCCGCGCTCTTACGCGGAGGCGATAGAGGGTCCCTACTCCTCTCAGTGGCAGGCAGCTATGGATGCAGAGATGGCTTCTTGGAAGTCCACAGGCACCTACGTTGACGCTCTTCCCCCTCCTGGGGCGAACATAGTCAGTGGCATGTGGATTTTCAGGGTGAAGCGGCCGCCGGGTTCTCCGCCTGTCTTCAAGGCGCGTTACGTGGCTCGTGGCTTCAGTCAGCGGCAGGGAGTTGACTTCTTTCAGACCTTCTCCCCCACCCCGAAGATGACCACTCTTCGGGTACTGCTGCACGTTGCTGCTCACCGTGACTACGAGCTGCACTCCCTCGACTTCAGCACTGCTTTCTTGCAGGGCAGCCTGCACGAGGAGATCTGGCTGCGTCGCCCACCTGGCTTCACTGGGTCTTTCCCTCCTGGTACCCAGTGGAGTCTCCGGCGTCCAGTCTACGGTCTCCGCCAGGCGCCACGTGAGTGGCACGACACACTGAGGACTACGCTGGCGGCACTCGGGTTTGCTCCTTCTACTGTCGACCCGTCGCTGTTTCTGCGCACCGACACCTCTCTGCCGCCGTTCTACATCCTCGTGTACGTCGACGACTTGGTCTTTGCCACAGCTGACACTGCTGGACTCGCCTACGTGAAGTCCGAGCTGCAGAAGAGACACACGTGCACTGACCTGGGTGAACTGCGCAGCTACCTTGGCTTGCAGATCACCCGGGACAGAGCACGCCGCACCATTACCCTGACTCAGTCACACATGGTGCAGCAGGTCCTTCAGCGCTTCGGCTTCACGTACTCCTCGCCTCAGGCCACTCCTCTGCCTACTCGCCACTCGCTCTCAGCTCTGCCTTCGGATGAGTCCGTAGAGTCGAGTGGCCCGTATGCAGAGCTTGTTGGCTGCCTCATGTACCTGATGACCTGCACACGACCTGACCTTGCATACCCTCTTAGCATTCTCGCACGCTATGTTGCTCCTGGGAGACACCGACCAGATCACATGGCTGCAGCGAAGAGGGTGTTGCGCTACTTGTGCAGTACGTCGGGCATGGGGCTAGTGCTTGGAGGGCGCAGTCCAGTGGTCCTCACTGGGCACGCGGACGCTTCTTGGGCTGACGACCAGGCTACGCAGCGCTCGTCACAGGGTTACACCTTCAGCCTTGGTTCCGGCTCTGTCTCGTGGCGGGCTACTCGCTCGTCTTCTGTTCTCGGCTCCAGTTGTGAGGCTGAGATCTACGTCGGCGCCATGGCTGCACAGGAGCTTCGCTGGCTCACCTACCTGCTGACCGACCTTGGAGAGCCGCCTCGTTCTCCTCCAGTCCTGTACGTAGACAACAAGGCCATGCTGGCCTTGTGTCGAGAGCAGCGACTGGAGCATAGGACAAAGCACATTGCTCTTCGCTACTTTCTTGCTCGTGAGCTACAGCAGCGTGGACAGTTGCGACATGCGTACGTGGCCTCTGAGGCCAACACTGCTGATGTCTTCACCAAGGCACTTGCGCCTTGTGATCATCAGCGTTGCTGCACGCAGCTGGGTCTTGTGCCTGTCTTGCCTCACTTGCTTTCTTCTTGACCTTGCTTGTACCTTCACCTATATATACTCTTGCTCTTGCTTGCTTGACTCTTGTATATCTCTATATATGATCTTGCATGTGAACTGGCCTTGTGGCCTTTGAACTTGTGCTCGGAATGTGTGGTGACTTTGTGATCCACCCTGAGCTTTGCTTTGCTTTGCTTGACTGGTCTTGTGACCCCTTGTTCTCCCCCAATTTGCCTATGGGG